GGCACAGAGACACAACGTGTGACAGTGACACAGTGTGGCACAGAGACACAACGTGGCACAGAGACACAACGTGTGACAGTGACACAGCGTGGCACAGAGACACAACGTGGCACAGAGACACAACGTGGCACAGAGACACAACGTGGCACAGAGACACTACGTGGCACAGAAACACAACGTTGCACAGAGACACAACGTGGCACAGAGACACTACGTGGCACAGAGACACAAAGTCAAAGAAAGGGGAGACCATTAAAACACTTGAATTTTTCTCATACAAACAAAACCTTGTCGTTTGGACAAGGCCATTTTTAAATAGCTTATAAGAATTACCTCCCCTTCTGTCAACAGTCTTTTATGCTGAAATCTTCATGGGGGGGGGGGGGGGTTTTTTGACTCGCTGAAAAGCGGACGTCTGAAATTATAAACCGAGACGAGCGTTTGAAATAATAGACTTGCAACGAGACGATCAGGGCCACCGCTTAACAGATATAATCATTTTAATCTTGGGTAAGTGCTAATAAACATCATATAATATAACTCTAATGGATCCTATAAAGCCTTTGTCCGTCCGGTTTTAGATTATGCATCTTCAGTCTGGGACCCATTTACCCAGAAGAGCATTGACAGGTTGGAGGCGGTCCAGTGACGGGCGGCTCGCTTTGTCCTGAACCGATACAGGAATACCTCTAGTGTTGGCAGCATGCTAGAAACACTAGGCTGGTCACCATTGGAGGAACGACGACGACAATCCAGGCTCTCCATTATGTACAAGATAAATAATGGACTGGTCGACTGTTCCAGTATTACACAGAAACTTGTCCCTCTCCCCCAAAGACAGCGACGAGGCCATGACAGGCAATTCAGGCTCATACCAGCAAGAAGCCAGTTTGGAATTGCTTATTCCTGCCCAAGACAATAAGGGACTGGAACAAGCTTTCAAAAGGAACAGTTGAGGCGACAACACTAGACTCATTTGTGTCTTTTGCCTCAAGTTTTCAAACCCCCAGTCCATGATTTCCTCACAAAGTGGCAATGGAAATCAGTGAAATGTCCTCATCAACACCAGGCACAGAAACAGTGCAAATCCCCTCTACATGCATAGGAGCCAAAATGATCAACAAATTGATCGTGGGCCCTTAATATAGAGAAGAAGAAGAAGAGTGAACAACTGTAATGCTGGAAACAACGGGACCCAAAGAAAAAAGTACCATTGGGGAGATGCATTTTTTTAAATAGATAACTTCACATCGCGTTAACATATAAGTCTTTCTGGAGCACTTTATTCCAACTAAACACAATGACATAAAATTTTGACCTCGAATAAATTGGTATATGGTTTGTATAATATATAGAGTTGTTGGTTGTTTTTTTTTGGTTTTTTTAAAGATACAAAATGCGTTCAAATGAAGTCCAGCGTTGTTGCTTTAACTAAAAATGAATAACAGACTAGTCCAACTTATTTTTAAAAAAAAATGTTTATAGATAGCTAGGGGCCCGTTATGAGCCCTGCCTTCATTGTTGGGAATGAGAATGCTACAATAAAATAACAGAAAGTAAAGTGACATTCAAACTCAAACGGAATATACAACTCGCATTGTTGGTCTATGTGTATTTAAGTCATGTTAGGACACCGTTTACATTTGGGATGAGACTCCATCGTTTTGATGATACTTGTTTTAAATAGGAGTACAGTTGCCTGTTATAAATGTAGCAATTTTGGTAGGGTGAATGTGTTTTTTTTATGCACACGCTGGCTAAGTGACATGTTGGCTCAGTGTCATGCTGGTTCCGTGACATGTTGGCTCAGTGGCAGGTTGGCTCAGTGACAGGTTTGCTAAGTGGCAGGTTGGCTCAGTGACATGTTGGCTCCGGGACATGTTGGCTCAGTGACAGGTTGGCTCAGTGACATGATGGCTATGTGACATGTTGGTTCAGTGACATGTTGGCTAAGTGACATGTTGGCTCAGTGACATGTTGGCTCAGTGTCATGCTGGCTCCGTGACATGTTGGCTCAGTGGCAGGTTGGCTCAGTGACATGTTGGCTAAGTGGCATGTTGGCTAAGTGACATGTTGGCTAAGTGACATGTTGGCTCAGTGACATGTTGGCTCAGTGACATGTTGGCTCAGTGGCAGGTTGGCTCAGTGACATGTTGGCTAAGTGACATGCTGGCTAAGGGACATGTTGGCTCAGTGTCATGCTGGCTCCGTGACATGTTGGCTCAGTGACAGGTTGGCTCAGTGACATGTTGGCTCCGTGACATGTTGGCTCAGTGACAGGTTGGCTCAGTGACATGTTGGCTATGTGACATGTTGGCTCAGTGACATGTTGGCTCAGTGGCAGGTTGACTCAGTGACATGTTGGCTCAGTGACATGTTGGCTCAGTGACATGTTGGCTCAGTGGCAGGCTGGCTCAGTGACATGGTGGTTAAGTGACATGTTGGCTGAGTGACATTTTGGCTAAGTGAACATGTTGGCTCAGTGACAGGTTGGCTCAGTGACATGTTGGCTATGTGACATGTTGACTCAGTGACATGTTGGCTCAGTGGCAGGTTGACTCAGTGACATGTTGGCTCAGTGACATGTTGGCTCCGTGACATGTTGGCTCAGTGGCAGGCTGGCTCAGTGACATGTTGGTTAAGTGACATGTTGGCTAAGTGACATTTTGGCTAAGTGACATGTTGACTCAGTGGCATTTTGGCTCATTGACAATAGAGCTCAGTGACATTTGAGCTCAGTGATATTTTAGCTCAGTGACATTTTGGCTCAGTGACATTTGAGCTCATTGACATTTGAGTTCAGTGTAAGGGAATGAACTCCAGAAAGTAATTGTTAATTTTATGTTCCCCCTTGAACATAACAAAACACCAACAAATTTATAAATTTATAAACAGATAATTCTTCAAAGCTCCGAAAATTATTTAGGGAAAAAATTGAAATTAATTTTTTTAATAAAAATGTATTGTATTAAAATTTATGAAATCGATTTAGGTCGATTTTATGATCAGCTTTATACTAGTAACATGTAGTGCTGAGCACTGTTAATAAGTTGGTGTTGTGAGTAAACCATTTTTAAATGGTGACGGATCTTTTGTTTTCTCCCTTTGTATTATAACTTTGCTAATGCTAGTTACTATATTTTTTAAAGCATGATGTCATCATACAATCCTTATTGTAGTAATAGAATGTATTGTGGCCTACGTGTTGAGGTATCGGTAACTATGAAGGATTTGTGAATTGTTACGAATAGATTGTGTTCCTGGGATTGTGTTCCTGGGATTGTGTTCCTGGGATTGTGTTCCTGGGATTGTGTTCCTGGGACTGTGTTCATGGGATTGTGTTCCTGGGATTGTGTTCCTGAGATTTTGTTCCTGGGATTGTTTTCATGAGATTGCGCTCCAGGGATTGTGTTCCTGGGATTGTGTTCCTGGGATTGTGTTCCTGGGATTGTGTTCCTGGGATTGTGTTCCTGGGATTGTGTTCCTGAGATTGTGCTCGTGGGATTGTGTTACTGAGATTGTGTTCCTGGGATTGTGTTACTGAGATTGTGTAGTGTATCAGAAACCTATTAGAGCCATGGGAAATGCCCGCATCTGGAGATCCAGGCTCGTGTTTCTCCTGATATAAGCTCGACTACTTATCTTACAAACATGATTTTTGCGCTTCGGCGCTGTCTGTCATGAACGTCTCATATTAGTTTGTTTTTTTTATTAGTGCACACAAATTGACGCCATTCCTGTGCGCGTTGCATAAGATAGTGCATGAGATCATTGTGTTGAGTGTTAATTTGCTTGACGTCCGAATGCTGTGAAAGTGAAACGTATTTTGTTGAATAATCATTCCTAGGCCGGGGTGCGCAACCTTTTTGCTCAATAGCTACAGTTTTGGCGCTACACTATACATAAATCATAAAACACTACTATTCACTCATATGAGAGTAAATACGGCTGATAGCTAATAATTAACATGCCTCTCCGTTTAGCAGCCATGATTTTATGATGAAAATAATTTGAAAAAGATATCAGATAGCACCTGTGTACTTAGCAAGAACTCTATTAAAATTATAGAGACGTTGTTATTGATGTGTTATTCCAAGTTTGTAAACTAATGGGGTTGCACAACTTAAATCAATAAAACCGATATATGTGAACAACTTAAAGTATGACTTCGGCTTATGTTTACTTATACTCAGTGGCGGCAAAGTTTCGGAACTGCACGATACATATTATAGAATAGTGTAAGCCTCAACTCAGATTAGCCTTAAATATACGGATCATCAGATATATCGAGGGTAGCGATAATTCATTGATGCCATTAATGCAATCGGTGATAAGCACAGTTGCTATTATTTCTTATTTTAATTTTAAAAATTGAAAATTTAGTCGTTTATTTTATTAACTAATTTTTCGTGTTTTTTTTTGGTTCTTTTCTTTGTACACATTTTTTCTGAAAGAAGAAAAGATTGTGTAGGATGGGTGGCCAGTTGTGTGAGATGGGTGGCCAGCTGTGTGAGGTGGGTGACCAGTTGTGTGAGACGGGTAGCTATTAGTGTAAGGTGGGTGGCCATTAGTGTAAGATGGCTGGCCATTGGTGTAAAATGAGTAGCCATTAGTGTAAGATAGGTGGCCATTAGTGTAATATGGGTGTCAGTTGTGTGAGATGGGTGGCCAGTTGTGTAAGGTGGGTGGCCAGTTGTGTGAGATGGTGGTCTAGTTGTAACATGTCGAGTTAATTCTAAAACACTCCCACAGAAATTGAGTACACCTTTGAACGTTATCCAGATCAGAGCACACGTCATGCTATTGCCCCCCTCAAAGATCCAGAATAGAATGTCTCTATATTAAGATCTTCATCAATTGTTAATCAAATAAAAACAAAGACATAATAGAATGTCTTTTCTCCATGTCCCCAACCGAGGGACACGTATCAAACTAAAATTCGTGAAGCTCGAAAACAAAAATGACCAGGACGAACGCACATTTTTTCAGTTGCAGTAAAATATCTAGGCTATTTCCTTTTATTTCAGACAGGCGGCAGTCTCATAGGATTTATTTGCACAAAGCATAATTATAATGCAGAGGTTTGATCTAATGGTATTCAGCATTTGACTACATTGTCTCTTTGATTAAGCGCCTTGGGTTTCTGAGAAAGATAGATGGAAAAAAAATAACATCATTGTGTTATGCATAGATTTTTTGTTGTTGTTAATTCTGTGATGGAGTGTGTTGTGTAAAGGGTGTGAGCAGTACTTTAATGTGCACGTTTTGATGTGTTCGTGTAGGATATATGTGTATGTTTAAAACGTAATCTGCGAGTCTATGTTGGGATTTATGGAGATATGGTTGAGAGGTGGATGGCGGGGTGTGTACGTGCGAGAATGGGGTGTGTTAGAGAGGGGTGGGACTTGTAACTCTGCGGCGTCAAAGTGTAGGTGATTGATGTCATGCGTGGGAACGTTGTTTGAAGTTACAGGTGTAGATTGATGTCATGCGTGGGGACGTTGTAAGTAGTTTCAGTTACAGGTGTAGATTAATGTCATGCGTGGGGGACGTTGTAAGCAAAAACAAATGTAGATTGATTTTATGATTGGGGACGTTGTAGGCAGATACAGGTGTAGACTGATGCCATGTGTGGGGACGTTGTAAGTAGTTACAGGTGTAGATTGATGCTATGCGTGGGGCCGTTGTGTGCCGTTGCAGGTGCAGTTTAACAGCTTACAATTCTCTGTGGGCAGTTCCTCGGCCATTGTGGACTGATCTGTTTCCTGACCAGGAGCAGCTGCTGCAGCAGACGAGTCATCCATCTTCGTCTCACCACTAGAATGTTGGGCTGATGAACCCGGGGGCATATCTTGTGTCGGCCCATTCGATGCTTCCTACGATGTTATACAACACGGGAAAAAGTTAAGCACAAGTTTGTAGGACAATTAAAATTATGCCAGTTTACTAGTTTGAAGCAAACTTAATCACGCTATTTAAATGTCATAAGTTAGATATAACAGGTCATAGGTCACGATTTCTAGTTAGTTGATATAGTGGCCTTTAAGGTATGTTGTTCTGGTCTCTCAAGTTTGGAGCCATCTTTAACTCTTTTATGTGCCATTAATCTACTGTATGTAAAGTGTAAGTGTAGATTCACTAAAACATTGTATGAAATTTGGGGTTACTAACATACTTATGTAATGTATTTGGATCAGTAAAAGAATCTTATCTTATCTAATCTTAATGGGGCCAGCGTTTTCAATTAATTAGTTTTTTGTGGGGGAAAAGGTGTGTGTGGGTGGGGGGGGGGAATGTTTATTGTTCTATTGCGTTGTTGTTTGTCATATGTGGTGAGATGTCGGTAAGGATGTTGTGAAATGGTTTTTCTTAGATGCCTTCCAGAGATTGCGTAGGGTGGAAGAAACGTATTTCGGGCCATAGGAAATGCCTCGGACCTCGAGATATGGGTGGTCCAAGGATAGTGTTTGGGATGTGAAAGGGTTCACTGAGATGGCACGTGTTGCTTGTCTTCCGCTAGATATTAACCGAAACAAAATGCACCACGACGCCGACCTGTACGGGGACATACGCCACCAAATACCTCTTCAGACAATGTTTCTGCTCTTACAAAAAGGAGGTCGCACTGGATGTCGAATTTTCTAGAATGTTCGCAAAGGTTCTTATGTTGCTAACTTAACACCCCCCCCCCCCACCCCCGTGAGGGTACTACTGCTAGTTCTAATTATTTTGATGTTATACACTGTTTGTAGCAATTGAATTTGTGAATTACCAACAATAAGAGTAGGGGAACCACATCTTACCGTTTGAGGATCCTGGGATATCCGGTGACCTTCCCTTTCCTCCCCTCCGTCTATCTCTCTCTCTGTTATTTTTATGTTGACCTCATCAATAGCTCTCTTAATAGCGACCTGGGCCTCCTCGTCCACTAGTTTCAAAGATGTGAGTGGAGAATGTGGGCTTAAGAATGTGGGTTGAGTATTTGGGTTGAGAATGTGGGTTGATTATGTGGGTTGAGAATGAGGGTTGAGAATGTGGGTTGAGTATTTGGGTTGAGAATGTGGGTTGAGAATGTGGCTTGATTATGTGGGTTGAGAATGAGGGTTGAGAATGTGGTTTGAGTATTTGGGTTGAGAATGTGGGTTGAGAATGTGGGTTGAGTATGTGGGTTGTAAATGTGGGTTGAGAATGTGGGTTGAGAATGTGAGTTGATAATATGGGTTGAGAATGTGGGTTGAGTATGTGGGTTGTAAATTTGGGTTGAGAATGTGGGTTGAGAATGTTAGTCATTTCACGTTTTAAGGAGGGTTATGGTGACGAATAATGTACCCTTAAAATGCACCAACGAATACGTTGTATTCAAGCATAACTTCACTACATTTTCAGCACAATAAGATGTTACTTAAATTGGACACCTTTCAAGAAAAGTAGTTTGATTACATAAGCTAGAAAGGAAAAAGTTCACATTTTAATAAGTTGATGCTGCTTTTTATCATAGTCCTTAAGAGAACAAACAAAACTATAATTAAATGCTTCGCAATTCCTTTAAATACGTACTGATGATATGAATTGTTATTGTTGGGTCAATCCAAGAGACACGTTTTTGTACAGCGTTCACTAACAATGAAGCACAAATAAGTGTACAGTCAAAGTAAATTTAACGACTTACTCAGCAATCCTGCCATCTCAAAAGCCCGTTCAAAACTGATGAGGGACGAGGCGAGTCGTTTGGCTTTCACTGTTTTGTGGCAAGAGAGGAGACGGAATGAAATGAGGTTCAAAATATGTGTTTTATTGTAAAACCGGATCGGTCCATTTTAATAACTGCCCACTCTTCTTTAAAGCAACATTGCCCCACTCTTCTACCAGCTATGTTGCGCTCGGAAAAGGAAATGTCTGGTCCAAATACATATTAACCAGCAGAAATTCTAACAAGGATCTATCAACTTGTATGTGTGTGTGTGTGTCTGCTTGTTATGGCTTCTTAAAGTCATCCTACTCTCTAATATTTCCCCTGTTTCTAAAGTATACGGTCATTACATACCCTCGGCCTGTGATATCAGCACCAGTGCGTGGAGCTGCCACCTATCGTCTCCCGCCTCCTCCGCTGCGGCCAGGGCCCGCTCTCCGTATTCCTTGGCGCTTTTGGCCTCGCCAAGTTCAAGGTAACATCTTCCCAGTTCGTGACACAACCAGGTCGTCTCCAGGATGCCCTTACTTCGTGGGAGCTTTCTCTCCCATCTGTCATTGCCGTAAAATTTTAACAATATGATTTAATGGGGGAAAACCCCCTTAACTTATTTTAATTTACATACATTTGTGAAGAGAAAATCTCTCAGACAAAATTACAAAATAAATATCATAAAAAAAGGGATAATGAATTAAAACAAAACAGATAGAAACCAAAGTACCGATATCAAGTATACACATTTATTGGGTTTGTTTGAGAAGCCACGTAACACCCAATCTCACACAACTGGCCACCCATCTCACACAACTGGCTACCCATCTTACACAACTGGCCACCCATCTCACACAACTGGCTACCCATCTTACACAACTGGTCACCCATCTCACACAACTGGCTACCCCATCTCCACAACTGGTCACCCATCTCACACAACTGGCCATCCCATCTCACACAACTGGCTACCCAATCTCACAAAACTGCTCACCCAATCTCATATAAATGATCACCAAATCTAACACAACTTGCCACCCATCTTCCACAAATGGCCACCCATCTCTTACAACTGGCCAGTCAGCCCACACAAATTGCTACCCATCTCACAAAAATGGCCACCCATCTTACACAAATTGCTACTCATCTCACGCAACTGGCTACCCATCTTACACAAATTGCTACCCACCTCACGCAACTGGCCACCCATCTCACACAAATTGCTACCCATCTCACACAACTGGCTACTCATCTCACACAAATTGCTACCCAACTCACACAACTGGCCATCCATATTACACAAATTGCTACCCATCTCACGCAACTGGCCACCCATATCACACAAATTGCTACCCTATCTCACACAACTGGCTACCCAATCTCACAAAACTGGCCACCCAATCTCACACAACTGGTCACCAAATCTAACACAACTTGCTACCCATCTCTCACAAATGGTCACCCATCTCATAAAAATGGCCAGTCATCCCACACAAATTGCTACCCATCTCACGCAACTGGCTACCCATCTTACACAAATTGCTACCCATCACACGCAACTGGCTACCCATCTTACACAAAATTGCTACCCATCTCACGCAACTGGCTACCCATCTCACACAAATTGCTACCCATCTCACACAACTGGCCATCCATCTTACACAAATTGCTATCCATCTCACACAACTGGAAACCCATCTCCCACAACTGGCCATCCCTCTCACACAACTGGCCACCCATCTCACACAAGTGGTCACATAATCAACCACACCCTCCAAATCCTCATAGTCTTCCATTTACATCCCTTGAAAGTCTGTTGAACCAACCCAACTTACACGTCAATGGCTTTCTGGAACTTCCCACTCCTGGCGTACACACGGCCTAAGTTATCCAGGGCCCGACACTCGGCGTCTTCTATGACACTGTGACGAGACATGTTTTCATCTTAACACAATGTGCCGTCAAATTATTCTTATTGAATTCATCATTCGCAATATAATGTGTTCATTACATAATACTTAAATGTCAATAATTAATGTTTGTGTTTGTTAAGTGCTTTTTTTGTGTGTGTGATTTTGTGGCTGTGGTTGTGTGTATGTGTGTTTGTGTGTGGAATTGTGTGTTTATGTGTGTGTCTTTGTGTGTGTTTGTATGTGTGTTGCATTCGTGTGTGTTTGTATGTGTGTTGCATTTGTGTGTGTTTGTGTGTGTTTGTGTGTGTGTGGCTTATTTTCGCGCGACACTCCTACACCCTGCAGGGGACACACACGTGTGTCGAGACATACGGTTTGGACATCACTGGTCAATGGGTTCAACGAAGCAAATGGCTAGACTAAGTATAATGGCTAGACTTAGTATAATGACTAGACTAAGTATAATGACTCGACTAAGTATAATGACTAGACTAAGTAAAATGACTAGACTAAGTATAATGACTAGACTAAGTAAAATGACTAGACTAAGTAAAATGACTAGACTAAGTATAATGACACTAGACTAAGTAAAGTGACTTGACTAAGTATAATGACTAGAATAAGTATAATGACCAGACTAATTCTAAGAGCTGCTCACTGTTCCTCTCCTAAAGTCAAGTCTAACTGGTGCTGGACGGCCGCATTCGCGTAGTCGCTCTGCTCCAGGTAAGCGTTGCCCATGAGGCTGTGGAGATGAGCCTTGAAGGTCATCTTGTTGGGCAGCTGTATCTCCGTCATGGAGTCCAGGGTGGCCATCACCCGTTGCGTTTTCTTGAGGGCAGCATCGTAGTTCTGATCGGTCATCACTGACACAAAACATTTGCAAATAATGTCATCCCTTGCACAAAACGATATACGCATAACGACATCACTGACACCAAAATAATATACCAATAATGTCATCACTGACACCAAAATAATATACCAATAATGTCATCACTGACACCAAAATAATATACCAATAATGTCATAACTGACACCAAAATAATATACCAATAATGTCATCACTGACACCAAAATAATATACAAATAATGACATCACTGACACCAAAATAATATACCAATAATGTCATCACTGACACCAAAATAATATACAAATAATGTCATCACTGACACCAAAATATACAAATAATGACATCACTGATACCAAAATGAATGACCCTCTCCCGTTTAAAAAAATATTTAAAGATTGTCAATATTAATTTTCGACGGGGTAAAGTAAGAAGTACCCTGGAAAAGTAAGAATTACCCTAGAAAAGTAAGAAGTACCCTGGAAAAGTAAGAAGTACCCTGGAAAAGTAAGAAGTACCCTGGAAAAATAAGAAATGCCCTGAAAAAGTAAGAAGTACATGGAAAAGTAAGAAGTACCTTGGAAAAATTAAGAAGTACCTTGGAAAAGGATGTGCAGTCACCCCCCTCCCAACACACACACACACACACACACACATACACAAAAACAAGAAACACATACAAGTCACCTTCACTTCAAGCAAGAGCTACATTACCACTTACTTTTGTCTATTTTTTCCAGCTCCGCTATAATGTAATCATACGGTGACGTCTTCATAGAGCGACCCCTGTTCAAAGCCAGTCGGGCCTCATACTTCCTGGCATACATGGGTTTTACCTGTGGAATCAGTGTGCTGTAACGCTCATACATTAGAGGCAGTTGCACAAAAATGGCCATAACCTTTAAACGAATCTATCAGACTCTACATAGATGGATAACGAACACATCAACAAAAATCTTTTTAATGGTTCCAAACATTAGCGGTCATCTTAATTTGAAATAACGCTGCACGCTGGAGTCCTGGCTTGAGATTAATGGTAAAATATCAATATTGTCCTACCCTGCTTAACAGAAGGGAGGAGAAGTAAAAGAAATATGTCATAGTTAGAGGTAATAGTAAAGATGGCGATTGTTATTATCAAGGAGTTTACACCTCGGTCAGATTCCCGAACTGAACACATTTGAGGCTGTCTCAAAATAAATAGAGAACAAGATGAACTGAACTCATTTAGGCAATTATATTTTGTAACCGGAATTTAATCGATTGTTATTTCAATTTCTGAGCACAATCTATCTCTTTAACTTGGCGTGTGGGTCTGTCTATATTGAAAATGAAGAGTTCAGCTCGTGGTACACATATTTTAAACCACTGTTATCTCGTATGCATTCCTTGTATATCCTCCCACTGCTACGGTCTCTTTTTTTGGAGATATAATTAACTTGTAGCTGACTTTCAGCTGCTCACCTGTTGCCAAAACTCTGTCCTGGTGTCCAAGTATGACAGGCCCTCCTGCACCTGTCGGATAATCCTCTTACCTGTCATACTGTTATTGTCTGGTACAGGGGTTAAGGGGGGGGGAGAGAGAGAGATGACACAAGTTTAATATGTATGATAATGATATATTCAAGGTGACTTTTTTGGTAGGCTTATCATGTATGATTTTCATTTCAAGTACGTGTGCTGCATGAGATTTGACATAGTTGGCACGTGTATACGACATCGATATTTCAAAACACTCACACCAAACGCCACACCTCAAGAGAACCAACAAGTCTAACCTACACAATGAAATCCTAACAGCAACTTTCGGTTTCAAAATTAAAATTTAAAACCTCATTTAACAGATGATCACTTTAAAAAGTCACGGTATGCTAGACTCGTCTTATACGAAACAAAACTTGTTAAAAAAATTATGATTAGAGTTCAAAGGTCGGATTTAACAATTCGTTCCGTATAAGATAACTCTACTGACCGTGATCCATTTTGGTTAGTGTCAAATAAAACCGGCAATTTTCGCCCTGTTAACGTGTAAGAGGATCGGGTATCATTCTTATAACAGACAACACAAAGTAGCTGTGTGAATTGTGTCTGGCCCGTGGGCGTCTCTGTCTCAAGTCTAACATGTCAAAATCCTCTATGGCAATGACCAAAGTGATTCTTTTCTATCAGTCATTTCTCCATAAATAGACTTCATGTTTCTGTTTCTTAAATTATTTTCTCCAGGTGTTTTCTTACTTACCTGTTTCTTTAAGTAACTTCCCCAGATACTGCCTTTTGTACCTGTTTCTTTAAGTAACTTCTCCAGATACTGCCTTTTTACCTGTTTCTTTAAGTAACTTCTCCAGATACTGCCTTTTTTTTTACCTGTTTCTTTAAGTAACTTCTCCAGATACTGCCTGTCCCCGTACAGCTCTCCCAACATCTGTCGAATGGTTGTCTCGTTGCCTGACTTCTCTTTTTTCTTCTTAGCGATGACCTGAGGCCTCTTCCCACAGGACGAACTAAAACCTTTCCTCTTCCTTTTCTGAGCGGCGACAAAAAGAGAAACACATTGACATGAGCAGCTGTGTAATACACACGGAGAGTAAGTCTCCTATTTTTTAATCAAAACTATCAAGAAACATGAAACAAGCAGGGTGTCAAGGGCTTTCTTCTATGTTCCACTATAATATGGTGCTTCTTTTAAAAAGTGTAGACAAAAATAGAGCGTATGAACTCATTAGCAGGGCAGCTGAGAGTCCCACAGTTATAACAAAGACTGTAGGTCCTTTGCAAGAAACAAATATTTGTGTCTTTCGGTTTCCATAAATACAATAAAATCAGACTTTTATTGAAATAAGGATTTAATTGCATAATTAGGTACGTAATGTATTTTTTAACATCAAAATAATTTATTATTTCCGTCAAACTGAATTTATATTCAATTCAGTAAATGAAACACCAATTAATAAGACACCGTCTCTTTATTTTAAAGCCAGATTTAACATGATAATAAGCTCCCCTTTTCAATATGATCAGGTCGTGCTGCCAAACCACTCGATCCCAAAAGCTTACCTCATCTTGTGCGGTGAAAAACGAGAGATCTCCAGTCGTGTTGAGCTTGACCCGGTCAGGGGCTGAGGAACGGATGAGGGCACCAACATGTGTTTATCTGTTACTTACACGTTACATTATTATTTTTGTCTCTATTACTTACATGTTACAATATTAAATTGTTTCTATGACTTGCATGCTATAAAATTAATTTTTTTCTATTACTTACATGTTACAATATTAAATTGCCTCTATTACTTACATGTTACAATATTATATTGTCTCTATTACTTACATGTTACAATATTAAATTGTCTCTATTACTTACGTGTTACAATATTAAATTGTTTCTACTACTAACATGTTACAATATTAAATTGTTTCTATGACTTACATGTTACAATATAAATTTTTTCAATTACTTACATGTTACAATATTAATTTTTTTTTATTATTAAACGTAACGGTAGTACTCTACTTTACAAACATTGAAAAGCTACTACAATGTCAGTGAGAATAGAAAGCATGCTTTTATAGAAAATTGATTTTGATTCTTTGATCAAGTTTTAAAGTGTGTTCTATGTCAATGACTCTGACGACCTTAAAGAACAAAAAACCAAGTTTCATTGAATTTTCTAATTACTAAAATGTTTTTACATGTTATTTTAATCCGTATTACTACACTGGTTTGAACTCGTTAGAGGCCCAGTTTGAGCTAAAAGTTTAAGTAACAAATAAATCATAAGGCAACAAAACATCTTTAAGGAAAATTTAAAAACTAGGTGAATAAAAGTTAACTTTTTAATGCTTGGCTTATTGAGCAAACGCTATATTGATAGGACGTACTCAATCACAACTTAGTGGGCACACACTATATTGATAGGACGTACTCAATCACAACTTAGTGGGCACACACTATATTGATAGGACGTACTCAATCACAACTTAGTGGGCACACGCTATATTGATAGGACGTACTCAATCACAACTTAGTGGGCACACGCTATATTGATAGGACGTACTCAATCACAACTTAGTATGCACACACTATATTGATAGGACGTACTCAATCACAACTTAGTGGGCACACGCTATATTGATAGGACGTACTCAATCACAACTTAGTGGGCACTCACTATATTGATAGGACGTACTCAATCACAACTTAGTGGGCACACGCTATATTGATAGGACGTACTCAATCACAACTTAGTGGACACACGCTATATTGATAGGACATACTCAATCACAACTTAGTGGACACACGCTACATTGATAGGACGTTCTCAATCACAACTTACTGGGCACACACTATATTGATAGGACGTACTCAATTACAACTTAGTGGGCACACACTATATTGATAGGACATACTCAATCACAACTTAGTGGGCACACACTATATTGATAGGACGTACTCAATCAAAACTTAGTGGACACAGGCTACATTTATAGGACGTACTCAATCACAACTTACTGGGCACACACTATATTGATAGGACGTACTCAATCATAACTTAGTGGACACACGCTATATTGATAGGACGTACTCAATCACAACTTAGTGGGCACACGCTATATTGATAGGACGTACTCAATCACAACTTAGTATGCACACACTATATTGATAGGACGTACTCAATCACAACTTACACACGCTATATTGATAGGACGTACTCAATCACAACTTAGTGGGCACACGCTATATTGATAGGACGTACTCAATCACAACTTAGTATGCACACACTATATTGATAGGACGTACTCAATCACAACTTACTGGGCACACACTATATTGATAGGACGTACTCAATCACAACTTACTGGGCACACACTATATTGATAGGACGTACTCAATCACAACTTAGTGGGCACACACTAAATTGAAGGACGTACTCAATCACAACTTAGTGGGCACACACTCTATTGATAGGACGTACTCAATCACAACTTAGTGGACACGCGCTACATTGATAGGACGTGTTCAATCACAACTTAGTGTGCACACACATTATTGATAGGACGTCCTAAATCACAACTTAGTGGACACATGCTAAATTGATAGGACGTACTCAATCACAACTTAGTGTTCACACACTATATTGATAGGACGTACTCAATCACAACTTAGTGGGCACACGCTATATTGATAGGACGTACTCAATCACAACTTAGTATGCACACACTATATTGATAGGACGTACTCAATCACAACTTACTGGGCACACACTATATTGATAGGACGTACTCAATCACAACTTACTGGGCACACACTATATTGATAGGACGTACTCAATCACAACTTAGTGGGCACACGCTATATTGATAGGACGTACTCAATCACAACTTAGTGGACACATGCTACATTGATAGGACGTACTCAATCACAACTTACTGGGCACACACTATATTGATAGGACGTACTCAATCACAACTTAGTGAACACACGCTACATTGATAGGACGTACTCAATCACAACTTACTGGGCACACACTATATTGATAGGACGTACTCAATCACAACTTAGTGGACACATGCTACATTTATAGGACGTACTCAATCACAACTTAGTGGACACATGGTACATTGATAGGACGTACTCAATCACAACTTAGTGGACACATGCTACATTGATTGGACGTACTCAATCACAACTTCGTGGAAGAATGCTAAATTGATAGGACGTACTCAATCACAACTTACTGGGCACACGCTATATTGATAGGACGAACTCAATCACAACTTAGTGGACACACGCGACATTGATAGGACGTACTCAATCACAACTTAGTTTACACACGCTATATTGATAGGACGTACTCAATCACAACTTAGTGGACACACACTATATTGATAGGACGTACTCAATCATAACTTACTGGGCACACGCTATATTGATAGGACGTACTCAATCACAACTTACTGGGCACACTTTTTTGATAGGACGTACTCAATCACAACTTACTGGGCACACACTATATTGATAGGACGTACTCAATCACAACTTAGTGGACACAAGCTACATTGATAGGACGTACTCAATCACAATTTAGTGGACACACACTATATTGATAGGACGTACTCAATCACATCTTAGTGGACACACACTATATTGATAGGACGTACTCAATCACAACTTAGTGGGCACACACTACATTGATAGGACGTACTCAATCACAACTTAGTGGACACACACTATATTGATAGGACGTACTCAATCACCACTTAGTGGACACACACTATATTGATAGGATGCACTCAATCACCACTTAGTAGGCACGCACTATATTGGTAGGACGTACTCAATCACCACTTAGTGGGCACACACTATATTGATAGGACGTACTCAATCACAACTTAGCGGACACACGCTACATTGATAGGACGTGCTCAATCAAAACTTACTTGGCACACACTATATTGATAGGACGTACTTAATCACAACTTAGTGGACACACGCTACATTGATAGGACGTACTCAATCACAACTTAGTGAACACACGCTACTTTGATAGGACGTACTCAATCACAACTTAGTGGACACACACTATATTGATAGGACGTACTCAATCACTACTTAGTGGACACACGCTATATTGGTAGGACGTACTCAATCACAACTTAGTGGACACACGCTACATTGATAGGACGTACTCAATCACAACTTACTGGGCACACACTATATTGATAGGACGTACTCAATCATAACTTAGTGGACACACGCTATATTGATAGGACGTACTCAATCACAACTTAGTGGACACATGCTACATGCATAGGACGTACTCAATCACAACTTAGGGGACACACGTTACATTGATAGGACGTACTTAATAACAACTTAGTGGGCACACACTATATTGATAGGACGTACTTAATAACAACTTATTGGACACACGCTACATTGAAAGGACGTACTTAATAACAACTTAGTGGACACACGCTACATTGATAGGACGTACTTAATAACAACTTAGTGGACACACGCTACATTGATAGGACGTACTTAATAACAACTTAGTGCACACACGCTACATTGATAGGACGTACTTAATAACAACTTAGTGGACACACGCTACATTGATAGGACGTACTCAATCACAACTTAGTGGACACACGCTACATTGATAGGATATACTCACTCCCAACGCAGTTTATGATGGCTTCTTGTGCTTTCTGTATCCCTAGGCGGAACTCTAACAGCTCTGGTCGGAGTCGGTTACCACGGTGATAGTAAACTAAGGCAAACTCAAAGTCCCCGGCGTTGTACAGGACCTCAGCTTTTTGGAACATGCCCTGAAACAGAGACGGTCAAGTAAAGAACTTAGGCCCTATGGAACATGCCCTGAAACAGATACAGCCAATTAAAGAAGTTAGGCCCTATGAAACATCGCCTGAAACAGAAACAGCCAATTAAAGAAGTTAGGCCCTATGGAACATGCCCTGAAACAGATACAGCCAATTAAAGAAGTTAGGCCCTATGAAACATTGCCTGAAACAGATACAGCCAATTAAAGAAGTTAGGCCCTATGAAACATCGCCTGAAACAGAAACAGCCAATTAAAGAAGTTAGGCCCTATGAAACATGCCCTGAAACAGATACAGCCAATTGAAGAAGTTAGGCCCTATGAAACATGCCCTGAAACAGACACAGCCAATTAAAGAAGTTAGGCCCTATGAAACATGCCCTGAAACAGATACAGCAAATTAAAGAAGTTAGGCCCTATGAAACATCGCCTGAAACAGACACAGCCAATTAAAGAAGTTAGGCCCTATGAAACATCGCCTGAAACAGACACAGCCAATTAAAGAAGTTAGGCCCTAATGAACATCAATATATACAATCGTCAAAAACTGTGAACATGTTTAGAGATATTTACATTAATGAGATCTGCATTGTGATGGGAACACCAGAGTATATATATTCATTGCATCTAATCCTTAATTTCTTGACAAATCTAACCAAATCAGTATCCCCCAAACCATTAGCCAAGTACTAGCTCCATTGGCAAAGTACTAGCTCGATTGGCCAAGTAAGCTCCATTGGCCAAGTTCTAGCTCCATTGCCCAAGTACTAGTTCCATTGGCCAAGTAAGCTCCATTGGCCAAGTACTAGCTCCATTGGCCAAGTAAGCTCCATAGGCCAAGTAATAGCTCCATAGGCAAAGAACTAGCTCCATTGGCCAAGTACTAGCTCCATTGGCCAAGTACTAGCTCCATTAGCCAAATACTAGCTCCACTAACCAAGTACTAGCTTCAAAACCTTCCCATCGCCGCCATCTTGTATTTAAACTCGACTTACCCTATGGTAGTTTTTGTTCTCTGCAAGTGACGCCTCTGCATCTTGCAAGGCTTTGCTCGTGTTCCCCAGCATCAGGTGGCATTTTGAGCGGTTCACCAAACACATGCGGTCATCGGGTTTCAGCTGAAGTGCCTGATAGATGAAAGTGGAGGAGCCCATTAAAATATGGAACTACATTTAGAAAGAACATCCGTTTTTGCTGGGATGTGCCGCCAGGTTGTAGGCTTGTGCCACAGTTTGTAGGTTTGTGCCTCTTAAGTAAAAGGTTTTTAAATAGCGTCAATAATCTACAAACTATAATGTGACCAAAAACCATGTGCTTTTACCGAAATTATGAGTCGATACACAAAGCCTGCACAATGTCCTTTAGTTGTACCATCACCATGGAAACTTTAACCTCCACAGGACGAAATTTACTAAGCACCGGCAGGTCATTTTCCGACTGTTCCCTCGTCACATTGTTTATATTTAAGATATCATATTTCAGGTATCATAGTTTTATTACGATATCAAATCTCCGATATCAAGTTTCAGACGTCATATTTCATATATCCTCTTTTTCAGATAACATATTTCAGATACAATATTTCAGATATCCTATACCAGATATCATGTTTCAGATATCATTGTTCAGAAATTTTTTTTCCAACTATTGCGGTTTGACTCGTGACTAGGAATTGGGTTTTAGCAAAGCATAGCACGCCACGCTGAGATGTGGTGCTAAATAGCATAGCACGCCATGCTAAGATGTGGTGCTAAATAGCATAGCACGCCACGCTAAGAGGTGGTGCTAAATAGCATAGCACGCCACGCTAAGAGGTGGTGCTAAATAGCATAGCACGCCACGCTAAGAGGTGGTGCTAAATAGCATAGCATGCTATGCTAAGAGGCAGTGATTAATAGCATAGCACGCCACGCTAAGAGGTGGTATAATAGCATAGCCAGCCAAATAAAATGTACAAAAATAAAAATTATATTAAAATTACACAACAGGATGCGAAAAAAAAAATTATTATTATTATTATAAGTGTTTTTTTTTAGCGTGGTACCCCAGTCTAGGGCTAAGCTCACCACGCTGTACATACAATTTAACAAACATAATAAAAAAAAAATAAAAATTAATTAAAAAACATATATTAATTAAATAAAACAAAAAAATGTATATTTAAAACTATTTACATGTCAAGCCATGAACGACATCCAGTGGCATCGTTATTCGGTCAGAGGGGGGAATCAGTCAGGATAGTAGGGTTTAAAGAGATGTGTTTTGAGAGCAGTTTTGAAGGCTGTGATGGTCGGTATTTTGTGGATGTGTAATGGAAAAGAATTCCCTTGTTTGGGGGCACAGAAAGAGAACTAAAGAATACTAGAAAGGTACAAATATTAATCCACACACACAGTGAAAATCTAGGAAGTCTTTTAGGGCTCCTGTAGGTCTGTAAGTCATGTTAAAGAAATGTCTGCCGGTCACAGTCTACCGTCGTATTTATGATGAGGAAGTAAGAGCCCCACAGAGCAGAAACTCTAGTATCTCTCTCCATGTAGACCCTTCTGGAAACGTAAACACTTTCTCAATCAAGGGCGGTGGGGTAAATGTATTGGCAGCACGTGTCACCAAGTTCAATGGTGACGTCATTAACAAAACAAAGGGTAGGTCAGGGTTGCATGCCACGACTCGAACTAGGTCAACACTCAGGTTATTACATGCAGTCAATATTTTTTTTTTACGTTTTGCCATTTAGTTGGGCAGAATTTTAATTCCTTATATCATTACCCCTTGCTAACTTTACAATGGTCAGTGTTTTGTCCCTAACACAAAACGGATTCCTTTTGCACTTGACTATCTGGCGGGTCATCGTGTTCATTCCAATAAGTGTCTATAAGTTCGGCCTACGAATGTCCCTTCACCAACTCTATCGTAACATATTCATATAGTACCAAACAACACCATTCTTCTACGCACAGTGGTGAGGCTGGATATGGACTGGTGGTGAGGCAGGATATGGGCTGGTGGTAGTCTTCAAAACAACACCAACCTACCAGTCACAGTGGTGAGGATGGACATGGAAGTAGTCTAAAACCCCACCAACCTACTACCCATAGTGGTGAGGCTGTCGATTGACTGGCGGTAGTCTATAATTTCACCAACCTACTACTCACAGGAGTGAGACTGGCTATGGACTGGTAGTAGTCTAAAACCCCACCAACCTACTACTCACAGTGGTCAGGCTGTCGATGGACTGGTGGTAGTCTCCGTGTCTGAAGTGAGCCGCTGCCTGTGCCTTGTACAGGTCAAACGTACCAGCGATTGTTTCAGGCTCATCAATCTTAAACATTGTCTTTGTGTTTCGTCGTCCCAGTGCCCGCAATCACCTACAACAGTTCTTGTTTTTGTAACACTTAAGTCAGTTGTTTAAGTCTATAATTTTAACTACGTCACATCTCTCCTAATAATATCTGTAAACAAAAGAAAATCACATCTTCTTTGTTATCTCTTGTATCTCTTAAGATTATCTCTTGCATTGAATCTCTTTAGACTTATTTGTTGTACCACTTTAGACTTTTGTAACTCTTTAGAATTTTTTTATCTCTTCAGACTTTTGTATCTCTTGAGACTTTTGTATCTCTTTAGACTATTTTATCTCTTCAGACTTTTGTATCTCTTGAGACTTTTGTATCTCATTAGACATTTGTATCTCTTCAGACTTGTGCATCTCTTTAGCCTCGTTCCTTATATCTCTTAAGATGTATCCTTTGTGACTATCTAGACTTATCTCTGAACATAGATCTAAACGTTTAAGCGCCACCCATAGATTAAGATATCTTTTCAAAAGCGACACGGATTTGTTTGCCCCAAACGGAAAATCCTTTTTGGCATATGCAAAGCATTACCTACTTCTGGATGGTGCTTTATGTGGGGAGGGTTAGTGTTTTAGACCAGTGCTTCCCAAACTGTGTGTAGCGACACAGTAGATGTGTAGCGACAAAATAGTGTGTGTAGCGACACAGTAGTGATGTAGAGACACAGTAGTGCATAGCGACACAGTAGTGTGTGTAGCGACAAAGTAGTGTGTGTAGAAACACAGTAGTGCTGTAGCGACACAGTAGTGATGTAGCGACACAGTAGTGTGTGTAGCGAGACAGTAGTGTGTGTAGCGACAAAATAGTGTGTGTAGCGACACAGAAGTGTGTCGCCTGTAGTGTTGATGTGAGTCGCGCAAAAATAAGCTCTACCAACTGCAGCGCATTCTTTTAGACTTGAAAACAAAAACGTATAGAAATGAAGTAAGAGAATGTGTTGATAAAGTGATGCGGCGATAAAGTGATGTGTTGATAAAGTGATGTGTTGATAAAGTGATGTGTTGATAAAGCGATGTGTTGATAAAGTGATGTGTTGATAAAGTGATGTGTTGATAAAGTGATGTGTTGATATAGTGATGTGTTGATAAAGTGATGCGGCGATAAAGTGATGTGTTGATAAAGTGATGTGTTGATAAAGTGATGTGTTGATAAAGTGATGTGGCGATAAAGTGATGTGTTGATAAAGTGATGTGTTGATAAAGTGATGTGTTGATAAAGTGATGTGTTGATAAAGTGATGTGTTGATAAAGTGATGTGTTGATAAAGTGATGTGTTGATAAAGTGATGCGGCGATAAAGTGACGCCGAGGTTCAATTATGAAAATTCAGACCGCTTCAGCCAATGTCATTTTTCTAATTTTTTTTTTTTTTAAATTGGGTCAAATTTTTTAAAAAGTTGAAATTAAATCCAGAAATGCGTTGGCTCTGAGGAATTCAGGTGCTTCTCGTCTGCTTGTCATTGATACGAATTGAGGGAAATCATTTTAGCCTAATTTTATTTGATATAATTGGCAAAAATCAGATTTGCAATCTAATTCAAAACAACATTTGAGCACAAAAAGGGCATCTGTATCTCACTGACATACATGAATATTTGATTTAAACAAAGACCAGAATTTAAGGACAAATGGGAAAATAACAGCGGGAGAAATCCGTATCCGGAAATTTGATCGAAAGAAATTTTGTTGACGGTAAATTGGTCGACGGTACTATGATCGAACGGAAATTTGGTCGAATCTTGTTTTCAATTTTTACGTAACAATTTTGCATCAAATTTCTTTTTGAACGAATTATTTTGTTTTACTAAATAATATAGTGCGTTCAAAAAGAAATTTGACGAAAATTTCAAAGTGCGAACGGAAAAAAAGATTCGACCAAATTTGCGTTCGATCAAATTACCGTCGATCAGTTTACCGTCGACGAAATTTCTTTCGATCAAATTTCCGGTAACCGGAGAAATCACGTGTGTGTCTCACAATGGGGACACAAGATGATGATAAGGAAACGGAACGGGAAAGAAGAAAAGTGTTCAATAACAGCTGAGTATGAGCTAACATGGGATAGTAGCTCACAAATCGGGATGATATCTCGCTAATCGGAATGATAGATCGCTAATCGGAATGATAGATCGCTAATTGAAATGCTAGATCGCTAATTGAAATGCTAGATCGCTAATTGGAATGATAGATCGCTAATTGGAATGCTAGATCGCTAATTGGAATACTAGATCGCTAATTGGAATGCTAGATCGCTAATTGGAATGATAGATCGCTAATTGGAATGCTAGATCGCTAATTGGAATACTAGATCGCTAATTGGAATGCTAGATCGCTAATTGGAATGATAGATCGCTAATTGGAATGCTAGATCGCTAATTGGAATGATAGATCGCTAATTGGAATGCTAGATCGCTAATTGGAATGCTAGATCGCTAATTGGAATGATAGATCGCTAATTGGAATGATAGATCGCTAATTGGAATGCTAGATCGCTAATTGGAATGCTAGATCGCTAATTGGAATGCTAGATCACTAATTGGAATGATAGATCGCTAATTGGAATGCTAGATCGCTAATTGAAATGCTAGATCGCTAATTGGAATGATAGATCGCTAATTGAAATGCTAGATCGCTAATTGGAATGCTAGATCGCTAATTGGAATGATAGATCGCTAATTGGAATGCTAGATCGCTAATTGGAATACTAGATCGCTAATTGGAATGCTAGATCGTTAATTGGAATGATAGATCGCTAATTGGAATGCTAGATCGCTAATTGGAATGCTAGATCGCTAATTGGAATGCTAGATCACTAATTGGAATGATAGATCGCTAATAGGAATGCTAGATCGCTAATTGGAATGCTAGATCGCTAATTGGAATGCTAGATCGCTAATTGGAATTATAGATGGCTAATTGGAATGATAGATCGCTAATTGGAATGCTAGATCGCTAATTGGAATACTAGATCGCTAATTGGAATGCTAGATCGCTAATTGGAATGATAGATCGCTAATTGAAATGCTAGATCGCTAATTGGAATGATAGATCGCTAATTGGAATGATAGATCGCTAATTGGAATGCTAGATCGCTAATTGGAATACTAGATCGCTAATTGGAATGCTAGATCGCTAATTGGAATGATAGATCGCTAATTGGAATGCTAGATCGCTAATTGGAATGCTAGATCGCTAATTGGAATGCTAGATCGCTAATTGGAATGCTAGATCGCTAATTGGAATGCTAGATCGCTAATTGGAATGCTAGATCGCTAATTGGAATGCTAGATCGCTAATTGGAATGCTAGATCGCTAATTGGAATGCTAGATCGCTAATTGGAATGCTAGATCGCTAATTGGAATGCTAGATCGCTAATTGGAATGCTAGATCGCTAATTGGAATGCTAGATCGCTAATTGGAATGCTAGATCGCTAATTGGAATGCTAGATCGCTAATTGGAATGCTAGATCGCTAATTGGAATGCTAGATCGCTAATTGGAATGCTAGATCGCTAATTGGAATGCTAGATCGCTAATTGGAATGCTAGATCGCTAATTGGAATGCTAGATCGCTAATTGGAATGCTAGATCGCTAATTGGAATGCTAGATCGCTAATTGGAATGCTAGATCGCTAATTGGAATGCTAGATCGCTAATTGGAATGCTAGATCGCTAATTGGAATGCTAGATCGCTAATTGGAATGCTAGATCGCTAATTGGAATGCTAGATCGCTAATTGGAATGCTAGATCGCTAATTGGAATGCTAGATCGCTAATTGGAATGCTAGATCGCTAATTGGAATGCTAGATCGCTAATTGGAATGCTAGATCGCTAATTGGAATGCTAGATCGCTAATTGGAATGATAGATCGCTAATTGGAATGCTAGATCGCTAATTGGAATGATAGATCGCTAATTGGAATGCTAGATCGCTAATTGGAATGATAGATCGCTAATTGGAATGCTAGATCGCTAATTGTGGACCAGCGACATCGCTCCAAAAAATGTTCATCCTTAAATGCGAAAATTCCAGACACCGATTGGATGATGAGTCCATCGCTTTCAACTCAGCGATCAAACTTTCACTCACTGAACGAGAAGAAGAAGTAGTAGTAGCTGAAACAACTAATGATTGGATTATTTTTAAATGATGTACGAACTGAGGTTTAGCTTTTGAATTTTGCATTTCAAAATTGATTTAAAAATATAAAAAATTTCGTGATAAATGTTGTGTCAAAATACATTAGGTTATGAAACTTTATGTTTGCGCCCGTATGTCTTAAAATGTGTTAGTTTATCCCCGCCCCACTGATATGATGATAAACTGACTCACTGTGTCGGAAACTGATGTGTGTCTAAACATTGTGTCACCCATATGAACAGTTTGGAAAGATCTACTTTTGTTTTTTTTTAAAGAGATTATTTTCTTTCCCTCTACTTTTAATTCAAGCGTTGTAAAGAAATAAAATTAACGATTTTTTCCCCTTCCCAATGTTAATATCGTATAGTGTTTGTATATTTATTTGAAACCTTGACAACATTGTTAAACGCACGAATCATTCAGTTAAATGCAACAAAATTAAAAGATCGTTCCTTGATACACCCCAAGCCCCCCAAAACAAGATTAATTATCGAAGTGCCAAACATGGTTATTTTAATCCTAAAGCTGCTCTAACCGAAAAGGAGGGGGGGGGGAATCAAACCAATAAACAAATCGGACAATCCTCTTCCCAGATCAAAACCGGAGGAATGGAGGCGAGGTGAATACTTAATGAAACCATACCGAGAAAGAAACAAATACACTTTTTAATTTTAAAAATCCCAGAAATTGGCTACTATTTTAAACTGCATAGAATTTAGGATATTTCCTGACACTAATTTTAAAAAAAATGTTGTAAATGTAAAAAATTGAAGAATAAATCGAATATTCCAATGAATTTGTTGAAATTTGTATGACACCTAAGGCGTTTATTTTGACAGGAAGTTGGTAGAAAACTTATTTTATTTAACACTTAGCTGACTTCAAGATTGTCTTCACAAGATTGTAGCGACCTATAAGTAACAGAAGCTCAAAAAAGTGGTCGTCGACTGTCCATTGTTTAAGCATTTAGTCGCTATCAACCGATTTGTGACTCTTTTGTAGCAATTGTCCAACTACAAACATTGACGGTGTTGTAAGACGGGTGTTCAGTCATGCTATGATCAGGTGCGCAGGTGGTGCGCAGGTGGTGCGCAATTCTTTTTATTGATAACAAAGAAGTCTTATAAATGTTTATTTTTATATGACCAAAAAAATCCATGTATGTCTCCGTTGTCCCATGAAGTTAAACAATGTGGTTGAGTCTGAATATCTGCTAGTCTTTCAGTTCGCGTGCCACAATAATATAGCGGTAACGATCAAGCCATTCAATTTATTAGTTTAAAAAATAATACTTAAAAGAATTCAAAGCAATTCAAATTTAAAAGATTTCACTAGAAGAAAAATTTAAAATTTTTATTTTATTAATTTCACTGCTGTGTAATACCTTGAAGTCCTTATGTGGATTTTTAAATTTTTTTTTAAATTCTTTTTTGGAGATGGGTGGGGGGGGTGGGAGGGGGGGGAGATTTCATCTTTTATAATATAACAAGCTTCTGATAAACTGCTACCTTTCCGGCTGCTTCCTAACAAGCTGATGGCATCCTATTTAGGGAATTGTAAGTTTGCTTTGTACAACGTGTCGTACCTTTGGGTATGGGAAACGGTGTTCTTTCCGGATAGCGCGCAAAATATAATTCCCGATAACCACCCGTACGTGAAATGATTTTTTTTTTTTGGGTCGTTGTTGAAATAACGCAACTGCGTTTAGTGCGTCTTATAATATTTTCTTTTCTTTTTGGAAAATGAAGTCGTATCCATTTAAATATGGTGTAATAGATATTCGGTTTAAAAGTGGTTGGGACATCAGAATATTAATATAGTTCATGGGCGTGAAAGAAAAGTGTACAGTGACGTATCATTGGGGGGTGGGGAAGGGGTGTAGCAAACTTGTTGATTCTTAAATGTGGGTTACTTGAGTTTATGTTTTGTCAAGTAGCTTTAGTAGATGGGGAGTTCACGCATTGCTACCGCCAATGTTTGGCGGGCTATAACTAGTGTTATATATTGTGGCTTATGGATGGTGCGTAACGGGTATTTTTTGTGATCATCTTGAGCGAAGTGTACCGTCGTCCAGTGGCGTAGAAAGGGACCGCACCGGGTGACGCCATCTCAAGGGGTGACACCAAATGGGGAAAAAAATGCATATTTACAGAGCACAAACTGATCGGTCTAAAAGAGTTTCATCATAGAGAAACCGATCACACTTACATTTTTTTTCACACCTACAACCAGTTCAAATGCGTGCTTCATTTAGAATTGAAGGATTATGCGTTAAAAATGAGGTGACCCTAAAAATAGGCCGGAAAAACACCATTTCTATCAACATGTAACGCCGATTTAAGTGTTTGGTAGTTCTCGTGATAGGAAGCTAAATATATATTATTTTCCACACACGTCGCCAATCCAAATGCCAAATCTATTAAAATTTCAAGGTTAATGCCTCAAAAACTGCGTTGACCCTATAAATAGGTCAGAAAAAAACTGTTTAACCATGATTGAACTGTTCAGTAAGTTTTGTAAGTGACAAGAAGCTATATTTATCTTGTTATGAAGCACGTGTTTACGACACATTTTCCCCGTGCCATGAACTCTGTATAGCCCAATCTAGCAGACGCCGCGTTCGCCTAGGGCGTGGCCTGCCCCTTTCATCTTAGCGCGTTTCGTGTTTACTGCCGCACCAATTAAACATAACTAATCTGTTCTCATAGTATGTTGTGGAAAGTTCGCGATTGGACTAGACAAGTAAACAATGCCTAAGTCGTTTCTGGAATGCGTCTTACGCTGCCAGCGGCGACGCTACACCAGGTCCCGCCGGGTCCCAGGACCTGGTAAAAAAACTTGGGACCTGGCAAATGACCCGGTAAATTTTTATTAGTTACTAATATTGTATATATGCCCATTAAGCGTAAACTACATTACATGTAAGAGAACTTCCATTTTAAATGCCTTCATATGTTTAAATTTCTATCGACAACAAAGGTCAATATAACGTCATAAAATGTTCACGAGAAATGGATACAATTGCAACGAAGCGAACACTCTGACCAGAAGCCAAATGAATTGAAAAAAAATGTCCGACACACGCTGTGCATCTCAAATTGTAGCGTGCGAAGCAGTTTGGAATCGTTTTTCTTGTCTGTTACAACCGCTGGACATAATGACACAGGAAGACAATCGTGACCGTGCCTGCGAGGCCACAGCTTTGACATGTTTGATGGTCTTTTAGTTTGTTTTTAATTTACTGGTTTTCAGAAAACTCTTAGCACATATGAAGAATGTGTCTGATCATCTTCAACTAAAGGGACGACACATTAGTCGAGCTTGTGACTTGGTTCAAACACTTATTGAAAGTGTTACAGATATGCGGGTAGAGCATCGTTGCGATGAATTTGTTCAAAAAGCAGTAGAAATTTGTGAACAGCATGGTTTGATTGTTAAGGAGGAAAGACGTAGAAAAGTCCCTAAACGTATTGCTGAGGCTGTTGTTACAGAACCAATTGGTCTTCTACAAAGTGGTCACACAGCATTGAGTAGTAATATTCGTGCGCGCATATATTATCCTATACTGGATGTAACACACCTCTACTCTGACATGGCGTGGGATGTTATTTCTTATGCTGTGGGTTATGTCAGTAGTATGGTTACTTATATTAACGCTTCAGGATGCCGACTCAGTCTTCTTCATTCTTTCACTTATTATTCAGGCACGTAAAGAAGAATGCTCAATTCTAGTTAAAACTCACAGTACTTTATTGAACACACTTTATATTGATAATATTAATAAATAATCCTTGCATGAATGTAATTTCACATATATATCTATAGTATTCCATCATTAAGAAAGACACGTCCTCAGACTACTATAACTCAGCTCAACTGTCTAATC